CCCCCCCCCCCCCCATACTCTGGGTCTCCCGCTGATCAATTCCCTGGATGAGCTGGAATTGAAGTAATGGAATAAGGCGTGTCTCTCTTTTAGAAACGTTTAGCACGTTCTTCTAGTTAGCTGGTCCATTTTTTTCTGACTTTCTGTCCTAGTAACAGGCTCTGAATGCCAGCAAGAGACCAAATGTTGTGTGATGAGCCAAGCGGCCGAAATTAAACTTCCCATCTGGGTTTGAAACAGGCCAGCTTGGCCGTTCAGAAGGATGGTGAACTCAATCCTGGAATGGCTCTTTTGAGCTCGACCGACTCGCAGGGGGACTGAAACGGAGGCCCCCCAACTTTCAAGGGCCGCATCAATGTGGAGCGTTTTGCCCTCCCTTCCCCTTGGAGCTTGATCTGGGGAGGGGGCAGAAGCAGACGCCTGGGCGGAAGTGCCCAGGTGGGGCAGGACCCCAGGCTGCCCTCGGGACCATTTGTCTCTGGCAGCCTCGGAAGCCCTGGCCAGTCCTGGGGCTCCCCTTCTGCAGGGCGGGCCGGCCTGCCTGGTAGAGACAGCCTCACACACACACACACACACACACACACACATGCACACACACACACACCCATGCCTGGGAAGAGAGGCTCTCGGCACTTGGTCTGGACGGCGCTTTGCTCTCCGAGGCCTCCCAGGTTCCTTCCAGGCTCCAGGTGGCAAAGTGTGGGTCTCCTTTGGGGTCAGGGCCCCAGAGTCGGTCTCCCCCTCAGGTGGCTGCCGACCTGCTTGCTTTCGGATGCTGGGGGGGGGGCGGCTCTGCTGGGCCAGGGAAGGCCGGGGGTCCTGCCTCGCATCTTGCCCGCCTTCCCAGTGCCCACCTTCTGCCCTCCTCCGCAGGCCAGCGTGCCCTCCACCATCGTGGCGATGTGCTGGAAACCTTGGTGTTGCTGAACCCTTCAGACAAGTCCATCTGTGACGAGGTGAGTGGCGGCGGCAGCGGCAGCAGCAGGCCAAAGCCTCCCTGGGGCAGAGCTCAGGCCGGAGGGCCCCGGGCCCAGAGCTGCCGTCTCAGCAGAGTCCGTGGGGCGCGAAAGGAGCTCTGAGCGACTCGGGAGGGAAGCAGAGAAGCTCCCCAGGAGGGGCTTTGGGCAGGGACCCCCCACCTGGCCTCCCTTGGGACGGAAGCCGCTCTCCCTTTCCCTGCCCAGGCAGAGGGGGCACAAGGGGGCTGGGACCCACAGCCTGGCCCCTCTAGGCCTGAGGAGAAGCCGCCACCCCCCTCCTGGCAAGGTTGGCGTCCCCCACCACTCTGGAGGGAGCGCTTGCTGGGAGGGGACACACACACACACCCCGATTCAGCCGGGGCCGCAATTTGGGCCCGTAAGTTGGCAAAAGCCAAATCCTGCCAAGGTCTCCCTGGGGCCTCTTTTTGGGGAGCGGCTGCCAGGCAGAGTCCTGGGGCTGCGGAGGGAGGGGGCTCCTCCGCTTGCCCCATTTCCCCTTCCTTCCTTTCTCTCCCTGGGCAGCTCCGGAACCTGATCACGGACCCTTCGCGCCACAAGCTGCTGATCTTGGCCGGGCCCTGCATCGAGGAGACGGGGGAGCTGGTGCTGCAGTTGGGCTCCTTCTCCTGGCGAGACTTCATCCAGGTCTTTGCGGACAAAGAGGTGCGACTCCCGCCTCCCCTGGGCGCTGGACGGGGGGAGGGCAGGGAGGGGGGGGGGGC